AATTTTGGTTGCAGGTAGATTGAATCCATAGATGTAGAACCTATAACAACAGAGGGCTGACTACACTTCAGTGAGAGAGACTGGTAGCAGTGACCTTTCTCAGCTAAGTATTGACAGGAGTCAGGCTGTGTTCCTAACACTCACTAATTCCATTAGTGTAATACTAGGAAGTATAATGGCATGCCACCTTGGGATTCAGAACAGTATGCACAGCTTGTGTCCACCCACATTACTTAACTATCTAATACCATGTCTCAATAAATTAGATATTCTCATTCCCACTATAGAAAACAGAATATTCTCACCTTCCAATTTGCAGATTACATGGTTATATTGTCTTAGCTGGTTCAGTTTTTATACTAAACTCCATCCCAACCTAACAGAAAAAATGGCCACAGATGACCTACACTCACCTCCCAGTTTTCACCAGCCATCTCTGGTAGGGAAGCACAGACCACTCCATGGTGGACAGCGAAGGCCACTTCAGTGCAGCTTCTACCCATGCCAGTGCTGGAGTTTGTCGTTGTCAGTAATGGCATTATTCAGTTCCTCTAGAAAGATATTTAATGTAATGTTACCCTTCCCCCCAACTCCTAATCCAACTTCTACTTATGGTTCTTAAACTGTCCCTAGGCCCACAGGGTGATCACCACTGGGAATCTGTTGGACATCAAATTATTAGCAACCTTCTTCTAAGGTTGGTCCCGGCCATCTGTGTTGTTATAAGCCTCCATGTTATCCAGTGCTGGCCAAAGCTGAGGAACTGCTGCTGTCCTTCACTTCCTGAAGCCTGTCTTTGTTTCTCCTGCTATCACAGGGAGTCTGAAGCCTGCCTTTGCTCCAGCTACCATATCAGAAAGTCAGTATCTAGAGTCACCTTGGCCATGTTGTGCCATTAACAAGGGCAGAGGTTTTCTGATTCCTGTTAAAGTTTATTTCCTGGCCAAAGGCATATTTGGTTATGCATGCTTGAAGTATTTTCCCATTTGAAGCCGAGAATCTGTGGCTTCAATCACCCGTTTGTGTATGAGATTAGCTCCTAAAATCTGTTTTTAAGAGCTTTGGCTATGTTTCAATATACTCTTTCTACCACTTTTGGTTTTTAGACTTGTCCCTATTTCCCTAAAAGAATACCACTCTCCCATCAGCCTCTTGAGTATTAATGCTCCCAGAGAGCCAGTCTGTTTTATATGGGGATACTGCCCCACAATGCAGTGCTGCTGTCTATATGGGCTGCTAGTTTGTGCTCTGTCTGCAGCAAGTGGCCAGGCCCTTATACCTTGTTTTGCTTTTTTTTTTTTCCCTCCCATCATTTTCCTAATATTCTTTTTTTCCCCACAGCTGTGGACTGATTGACTTTTCAAGTCTTCTGGTCTTATGTGTTCAGGCTCTGTCAACTACCTTGACTGGATTGGGGAAGAATCAGTTTCAATAAAATGAAGTAATTTTTGTTATAAGATGCAATGGAGGGGCTGGGAAGGTGGCTCAGTGGTAGAGTGCTTGCCTTGCATGCATGAGGCCCTGGGTTCGATTCCTCAGCATCACATAAGCAAAAAGAAAAAAAGCTGGAAGTGGTGCTGTGGCTCAAGTGGTAGAGTGCTAGCCTGGAGCTGAAGAGCTGAGGGACAGCGCCCAGACCCAGAGTTCAGGCCCCACGACTGGATCCCCGCCCCCCCAAAAAAAAAGAAAAAAGAAGAAAAAAGATGCAATGGATATAAAAACAAATACCAGATAGTAAGTTGTGTCTTTTTTGTTTAATGCCAGTTCTGGGGCTTGAACTCAGGGTTTTGATACTATCCTTGAGCTTTTGTGCTCCAGGCTATCACTCTACCACTGGAGCCACAGCTAGCTCCATTTCTGGCTTTTTGGTAGTTAATTGAAGATAAAAGTCTCAAAACTTTCCTGCCTGGGGTGGTTTTGAACTGTGATCCTCAGATCTCAGTCTTCTTAGTAGTTAGGATTATAGGCATGAGCCACTGGCTCCCAGCTCTAAGTTGTGTGTTTTAAGTGACATATCCACTTGAATCTGTCCGACCTGCCTGAAGCTTCAGGTCCCTCTTTGCATCATGTAGACAGTGATTTAGTTTAAAAAATTAACTCATAAAATCAACAAAACTGGGAAGCTAGGCTGAGGTAGAAAGGTAGGTGAAGTAAATGTAGAAAGTAGGAGCTTTAGTAGGTTTTTTGTTTGTTTGTTTTTATCTGAGATGGGGCTTGAACTTTGGGCCTGGGTACCATCCCTCAGCCCTTCAGCTCAAGGCTAGCACTCTACCACTTGAGCCACAGTGCCACTTCCGGTTTTCTGATGGAGATAAGAGTTTCATGGCTTTTCTTGCCCAGGCTGGCTTTGAACCACGATCCTCAGATCTCAGCCTCCTGAGTAGCTAGGATTAAAGGCGTGAGCCACTGGCGCCTGGCTGCTTTTGTAGGTTTTAAGTCTTCTGCATTATACATTCATAAATGAGACATAGAGACATGAAAAAATCTATTTATTAGGTTAGTGATGCCTAGAAACACAACTAAGTAAGCAGTCTAATCACCAGGTGGTAGATATTGTGATTCCATTGTGGTTTAACTGATACACTATTCTATTTACAATCTAAGACTTAAAAAAAAAGTATTCAAAATTTTCATACCTCTGCCTGTTTCTGAGTTAACCTTTATCTAAGTTGCTTTGGAGAGCATCACTGGAAGTTACCTTACCCTTGTGGCAGATGTAAAGCCCAAGTCATCATTCTTCAAACTCATCCTCTACAATTACAAAAGTGATAAAAAGGTAGGCTTGTTCACTCTTTGCTGAATGAATACACACTTCCTGCCAAGCCTAGCACTGCATTAAGCTCTTGATATCCTTAATCTTTTCCTTCTCTCTGATCTTCACACTAAGTCCAGGAGGGAAAGCTTAAAATATGTCTGATGCTAGATGTTAACCCCAATCTTTAATTTGTATAAATAATGTGAAATATGCTGTAAGTTTAGAAATTTGAGGATGACAATAGTGAACAGAATTTACTCAAGTAGGACTTTGCTGTTCTTGATAAGTCTCCATTGGTTAAGAATCAAATGGGGAAAAGGATATAAAAGTACTTTGTACTATTAGACTTTCACACAATGTGACTATTACATTTGTGACATTTCAGTGGCTTGGCAGTTTTAAGGGTCTCTAATTAGTAGGGACGAATATTTGAGCTGGGTTTTTTTGAAGCTGCTGGTTTTGGGAGATCAACAAAGAGAAGGAGCTGGACAAGTGTCTGCAGTTTGAACAGAGGGTGTTGGAAATGAACTTTATACCTATGAGGCACAGATAATGGGTATGTGAAGATAGCATATTAGCACCTAGCTATCCTCACTTTGATCTAAGCTATAGTTGTAGATGTAGTTCTTAGAAACCTTGTAGTGAGAAAGAAGGTGCTGAAATGTGTTTATTGAGTGTCCACAATAAAACTTTAACAGACTCTGTGATGCCCTAATCGGGTATATGGAAAGAGGGGACAAGCATACGCGTCCTCTTCACCAGATGGGTTTTAGTTCATCTCCTCTTGTCTAGTCCTTGTGTGTTTTTTAATCTGCTAACCATCTTTCCCTCCACCAGAGTTCAACACCGTTTGGGCCAGTGTTGAACTATCAACAGTTGGCACCCTCAGAGAGGATACTTGTTACTTGACATGAAGCATTACCTCTATTCTTCTGCCTGGTCAGATCTGCACAGCTGGTGTTTCTATATCCAGACCACTTGAGCCTATTTCTTGGGTTTATTCCTGGTCCTTGAATATTCTAAGAGTGGCTTGCCTAGTCTGCAAAATATGCTAATTTAGATATGCTAATACAGGTAGAAAGAGTGCCCAGCCTGATGGATAAAATGACACCTAAACTTAATCTCTTATTCATAGGCATCATGTTGTTTAGTGATGCTTGTGTAGAATGGCTTTTTTCCCCCCATCCTGGGGCTTGAACTCAGGCCTGGACCCGGATGTTGTCCCTGAGCCTGTTTGTGTTCAAGTAGTGCTCTATCACTTGAGCCACAGTACCACTTCTGGCCTTTTGTGAGTAGGTTGTTGGAGATAAGAGTCTCACTGATGTTCCTGGCTGGGCTGGCTTCGAACTGCAATCCTCAGATCTCAGCCTCCTGATTAGCTAGGATTATAGGCTTGTAACCAGCACCCTGCTAGAATGCCCTGTTAAAGCATAGAAGGGGAAAGAATGCTTTTAGCAAGCCTTGTTTCCCGGTGTCTTGGTGACAGTTTGTGTTTTTTCAAGTTCATTTCATTTCTGAGTAAATTGATCACCACCATCATGCTAGAGGATGGTCTGCATAAAGAATATCTTGTTTCAACTTCATAGTTATAAACTATGTTTCGTTACTCCTATAGACATCACTGAAGTCAAAACTAAAAATCTTGAAGGCAAAAGCTTTGATTTTTCTTTACAAACTTTTTTTGGTGTTGGTATGAAGGAGGGCATCCTGCTCTCACTCAACTTTCTTGCTCACAACTGGTGCTCTACCGCTTAATCTATGCTTCCAGGCTAGCTTTTTGCTGGTTAATTAGAGATGAATTTCTATAGGCTTTTCTGTCTAGGCTGTGTTTGAATCATGACCTTTAGGTCTCCGCCTCCAGAGTAGCTAAGATTACCAGGAATCACTGGTGCCTTTAGCCTAAATTTAGTTTAGCTTAAACAACCTTTAGCCACGGCGAGAAGGTGAGTAGTAGAAGTCACAAGTGAGGATTACTTTCTCTGCTGCCCTCATTTACCTAAGAATGGATGTGCGGATGGAGCAGGTGAGATTTTCTTTGAGCCAAAAATCTTGGAAAGTTCTCTGGGGATTTGACATTTTTCTGGTCCCCGACCATGTAAATTAAGAATGAATGTATAGATATCATTATAGAATAATAAAAGATGTCTTCAAACTCATGTTAAATTAAAAAATTTCTTTTGCATGGTGTTCGGTATTCATACCAGTGGTAATGACTTGTATGTCTTTGTTTTCTCCTTGCCCATGCATGGGTGCACAGCACGTGTGGAGCGAGAGTGAAGACTGCCTGCCTTTCTTGCAGTTAGCACAGGATTACATATCTTCCTGCGGCAAGAAGACACTCCATGAAGTTTTGGAAAAAGTGTTCAAGTCCTTCAGACCTGTAGGTGTCCACTTGTCCCTTCAGTGGTTATATTTGATTTGTACCATGGCTGGGGCAGGGCAAAACCTGGGATGACTAATTGTTTTTCTTTTATGTACTCTGTGATGTAAAGATAGTAGCTAGTGTTTAGAGCTGTTGAGTGAAGAGATGATGGTTATTTCTAGCATTGCTTGAGTTAAAAATCCCTGTTAGTTGGAAGTAAACAGCCTCAGAGATATTGGAAGTCTGTCTTACACCTGTGATTCTAGCTACTCAGGAGGCTGAGATCTGAGGATCTTTTTTCAAACTCAGCTCAGGTAGGAAATTCTGTGAGACCTATTTCCAATTAGCCAGCAAAAAAACTGGAAATAGAGGTCTGACTGAAGTGCTAGAGTGCCAGCCTTGAGCGCAAAAGCTAAGGGACAGTGTCTGACCCTGAGGAAGGAGGAGGAGGAGGAGGAAGACGACGACGACAACTATGACGACAGTGGGGTTTTTCAAAACCTATTTAAAGTTTATGCCTCCATGTTTTTAGGTGTGGAGAAGGATGAAGTTGGATGCTTGCTTTATTCTTTTCCCTGATGTAGAGTTTGCTTCTTTCCTCTCCGTGTCTTGGGATTTAAGAATCTGTATTTCTCTGGCAAACTGATAGTTTATTTTCAGGCTAACTGATAGACATGTAAAGTGAATATTCACCTTACTTTTTGAAGATTTCCTATCCTCATTGGAAGAATAAAGCCATTACCAGCATTACAACATTCCTGGCAGCTTCAGTTCTCGGCTCACCAGAAGTACTCCTGTATGTTCAACAGTATTTGCTTTAGAATTTGTGTTTATTTCTAAAACTTGTGTGTGTGTGTGTGTGTGCTGGTGATTGAACTTAGGGCTTGGATCCTGTCCTTGAGGTTTTCTTTTCTTTCTTTCTTTCTTTCTTTCTTTCTTTCTTTCTTTCTTTCTTTCTTTCTTTCTTTCTTTCTTTCTTTCTTGCCTTCTTTCTTTCTTTTTTTTTTTTTTTTTGCTGAGACTGATACCCATGAGCCACAGCTCCATTTCTGGCTTTTTTTTCTTTGAGTTGTTTATTGGAAATAAAAGTCTCGTGGACTTTCCTGTCTACACTGGCTTTAACCTGCAATTCTCAGCTCTCATCTTCCTGAATAGCTGGTCTTACAGAATAACTGGTGCCTGGCTTAAACTATTATTAATGCTTCTCCACTGACATTTTCAAGCTTCTTTGTATAGTAACAACCTATATCTGATTTTAGATATCTTGAGATTTGGAAGTCTGTTTGCTGTTTTATTATTCTATTGGGTCTCAGTCTTCTATCTTGTTTTTCTTTGTGTGTTATGTTATCTCTGGTTGTGGGATAGTATATTTGAAAGTTTTGATCAATTTCAGCCTATGACACCAGTATCTTTATCTGGAGAGGACTACTGTTAGCCTGCCAGATCTTGAATGTACTACCAGCCTGAAACCACTTTCAACAATTGGAGGTGTGTTGTCTTTCAAATAATTCAGGAGAGGACAAGCCATACTACAGATCTGGTCTGTTGTAGTTTATCCTTGTCCTAGGAGTGTGGATCTTGGGGGAATCCCAGCTTCAATTGAATGCAGTTTAGTGTGTTTCTTTGGAGGACCCCAGGCTTTTCCTTTGGTCTCCTTGACTCAGACTGAAAATGTGATGGAGCTCTAAATTAGCAAAAACCCTCAGGATGAAGCAGCTTTTTGTGTTAAGCTTATCTCCCCAGGTACTAATTTTTCAATATGTTTAAGAAAGCATTTCTGGTATTTAACATACTGTAATTTCTCTCACATTTTAGTTGTTCTCAGTGAAAGAATTAGCCATTATAAGAAATGGAATTCCAGTGGCTTTTATCACAATGTCTGCTTTGTATCATTCATCCAACCAGTTCATTTTTGTTTGCTAATTTTCTAACCTAGTTTGCCTTATTCAAAATTGGCATGTGATTGAAATCACTGTCCCTCAGTAAGCCTGGGTTAGTACCCACTGTGCTTGTGGCACCCTTTCCTGTCCTAGTCCTACCACTTAAACCAAATATGTGAACAAACAAGTACAATGTATACTGTGTTGGTGACAAGTACCAAGAAGGAAAGAAAGAAATGCACAGTGCTAAGTTTTGATTAAGGAATCAGGGAAGATTTCTCTGGAATAAAACCTTGAAATCAGGAATGAAATATGGGGAAATCTGGGAGGAAAGTAGTGTAGAGAACTGAAGGCCTCTGAGGTGAGAATGGACACAGGTCCATGGGAGAGGGGCCCCAATATGGCTGAAGGGGAAGAGACCTGAACCCTTGAGAGAGGAGCCCAGAGACTAGGGTCCTTACAGTTGGAGGAGGATGTGGCTTTACCTCAGAAATAATGGAGAGTGATTGATGAAATCAAAAGCTAGAAGGTCTGATTTTGCAATTTAAAAGACTCCTTCTGAGCCTGGCACTGGTGGCTCATGCCTGTAATCCTAGCTACTCAGGAAGCTGAGATCTGAGGATCATGGTTCAAAGCCAGCTCAGGCAGGAACATGAGACTCTTATCTCTGATAAACTACTCAGAAAAGCCAGAAGTGGTACCATGGCTCAAGTGCTAAAGAATTAGCCTTAAGCACAGAGTCTCAGGCACAACACCCAGGCCCTCAATTCAAACCCCAGGACTGGCAATAAATAAATACACAAATAAAATGCTAACAAGCATTCCCTTTGCTTCTAGTTTCTTCTAGTGATACATTTCTTAGTCTGCACCTCAGTTTTCATGCTGGCAAACAAAGCATGTAGAATTGACATGCCTGGGAGAAAGTAAACTCCAGCCAGAATCCTTTTGGATTCTGTCCCTTAGCTTTTTTGCTCAAGTGGCATTCTACCACTTGAACCACAGCTCTACTTTCAGTTTTGCCAGTTAATTGGATATAAGAGTCTTAAGGACTTTCTTGCCTGGGTTGGTTTTGAACCAGGTGCATTAGATCTTAGCTTCCTGAATAGCTAGGATTACAGAGGTGAGCCACTAGCACCTGGCTCTAAATTAGGAATTTTGATAACTAGGCAGTTACATGTAAAGCAAAGACAAAAAAAAAATGGTCCCCACACCATCAAAAACATAGCTACAAGGAGTTGGACAGGTTGTGTATTTTTCATACATAAAGCTGTATGTGTTAATGGAGACAGATTTGATTCCACGATGCTGGTTTTATTAGTAACATGGAACAACCTTAATTTGTAGACTGGGATACTGCTCTTAAGGGGCTGAGGACTTGAGCAGAGGCAGTGCTCCCTCTTGCAGAAAGTGGTTTTTTTTTAATAAGTTTTTTATTGTGAAAATACTGTACAGAGGGGTTACAGTTACATGGGCAAGGCAATGAGTGCATTTCTTATCAAGCGTTGTAGCCTTAGTTGTGGAGGTAGGAGGGAAGGGATGGCAGGGGAAAAACTAAGGCAGAAAGTCTTACATACTGGATGCCCTCTGCTTGGCCTTCCCTTCAGCACAGTCACGAGGGAGACCCTTTCCCAGAGTTACCTTAGGGCCAAGTGGCTGAGGGCGTTTGGGTTTTCCCTCATTGAATAAGAGCAAGTGACACAACCCCTTCCTTCCATGGGGCCTTAGATTAGTAGGGAGACTTGTTCCCTTTCCATTCCCACTGCACAAGGCATGTCTTCCCAGTGGTGCTGTTTGAGTTTAGAAACCATACACAGGAGAGATTCAGCTGCTGTTGCGGTCATCGAAAGTACTTGTTGGAGAAGTTCTCACTCCAGTGCTACAGGTTTATGATACTCATTGATTCAGTGTGTACCAGCAGCTGCTCTTTCCAGAGGCCACCCAGGGAAGGAATGTGTTTGCTTAGACTTAGGACAGCCACAGCCTAGACTTGGGATGCGTGGCTTTCAGCATCAGCCCATGAACATCCCCTGCTCAGTCAGTGTATTCTCCTTTAGAGAGATGAAGACTTGTGTATTGGTAGCTTTATGCTGCCTACTGGGGCTTCAGGTTACGTAGCCAGCAAGTGCCAGAACTAGGATTTAGATGGGCCTCAGTGAGACCCATCTGAAGATAAGTTGACCTTCCTGAAGATAAGTGCTCACAGTCATGTCCAGAACAGTTACCTTTTGGTCTTTCTCAGTAACATACCACTGCATGACCAAGGCTCAGACCAAACCAACCAAGTGTTCTGCCTGTCAGCATGCATACTTCCAGAGCTGTGTACTTTTAACCCTTTCTCCATTTTTCCCTCCTCCAAAACAATTAATGTCATAGAGTTCTTACCCCTAGGAAGTCTGTCATTGGATTTTAAAAGAGAAGTTATAGTTTTTATAAAAAATAATCCTTTTCTTTCTCACTATCTTATTTTTTCTACTTGACTCATTTAAAAAAATGCATCAAATTATTGACAGGGGCGTATTCTGAGGATGAAAAGCAGTACATAGTACCCAGTACATAGAACCCAGAAGTACATAGCATGCCCCAGTTATTGTTGTCAGGAAGCTACTAGAAGGATAGACAGCCACCTAACAGAGGGAAAGCCTAGGGTAAAAGACAGAGCAGGCATTTTGCTTCAGGCATTCTGTGAAGTGTTGGGCAGTAGAAGCAAACGAATCCTGTTCCTGCTCAGTTTATTCCACCATGCAGATTTCCATGAGGAAGTACATCTGAGAGGATGTTTATGAACAGGAAATATTTAAGTAAAATGGAATCAAGATCTTACCGTGGTGAAGAACTCAAACTCTCTTGGCAGGCTGTTAGGGTTCAAATGCTAAGTTTTCTCCCTTGCTGGCTATGTGATGACCTTAGGCATATTTCATTACCTCTCTTTCTCAGTTTATTCCTTTGTGAACTTAGGAGGCAAATGATGATCATTACCTTAGGTTTACTGTGAAGATTAAATAACCCAGTTTTGGTTGAGGACTTCGTGTTGTAAGCATTAAATCAGTGTCACTATTGATGTGGATCGGGTGAAGATGTCAGGCAAAAATATGATTTGAGAAGTGAGCAGAGCCTTCAATTTTTTAGATTTTTGGTGGA